GGAGTTGGTCTGTCATTCAATCTTGACGCACCGACCTGTTGCAACTCGGTGTTCTTTCGCTTGGCGTTTTCCTCGCCCCGCTTGTGCTCGTTGACTTGCCGCTTCACAGTGGCGAGCTCAGCCTCCTTCTCCTCATACCGCTCTTGCAACTTCTTGTACTCTTCTGTGTCCATTGTGTTGCTCAGCTTCCTCAAGTCCTGACACCGACCAACCAAAGGGGACAAAACAAAAACAGCGAACAGACTCGTGTCTCTTGTGTGCGCTTGCTGAATGCGTGCGTACCTCGTTGGCGTTTCGCAGCTGCTTCTGCAGCCGATCGACCTCCTCCTGCAGTTCCTCGATGAACTGCTGCTCGCCGACGCTCATTCTCTGCCGAGAGTTGGTGGTCAGCGACCCTCTGCGGGAAGAAGGGCCCTTCTCTCTGGGCTCCTCCTCCTGACAAGCCTGCGATATCGCGATATATAAGCGATATGCGTGCCTCAATGTCCCCTCCGATATCTCGTCGAGGTTTCCCATTGACAGTAGTCCGCTGTCCATTGTCGCGAACGCACTCTTCCGTCGCTGCTGCGAGGACCGACCTGACGCGTCAAGTCTCTGCCCGGGACTGCGGTCCATGGCTGATACGTGAATGGACAGAGGACGCACCTGTTGGCGAAACTGCTCATTCTCACTCAGCAGCTGCGCGGCGATCTTGGCTGCGAGCTCTTTATTGGCAGCACCAGAGGCAGAGGCTGCCGACTCTCGGCGGCTTGCGGCTGACTCTCCTTGAGACGACGTGAATGACTGCGAGAGGCCGCCGTGCGAAGCCCCGCTGCCCTGCCGAGACGGCACACTGGTGATAGCCCTGCCCATGGCATCGAGGTCGCTGTGGCCGCTGGAATCCACGAAAGGAAAGGCCCCGCCGTGCTGACTGCTGGAGGACACGACCTCACTCGTCCCTGCCCCGATGTCGCTGCCACTCCTTCCCAGACTCAGTCGAACACCCTTTCGCGGCGAGGGGCTGCCTGCTGTCGAGACGGTGAGGGGCTCTCGTTCAGAGGGGCTGAGGGTCGATGGCCTGCCCTTCAATGCTCGCTCAGGGAGGACACCCTCGAGAGTGGGGGGCACCACCTTGGGTAAACCGACCGTAACTCGCTTGGGCCGAACCGAGTCAGAAGGAGCAGATCCGCTGCTGCTCCGCTCTGCCATTCCTGCCAGGCTAAGGATGGGCGCTTGGGCGGGCGCCTCGGGCGGGTGCTCGGGCGACTCGAGGCTCAGCATCTGGTCAGTGCTCATGCCTCGCACTGTCCCTTTGGGATTCTCCTTCTCCTTCGTTGCAAATATGTCGGGGTAATTCCGCCTCAGGGTCCTGTCGATGTCCACCATGCTGTGGCGCAGCTCGTCCGCCGATGGAAGGCTGGTCATGTTGTGATGGGGAATGGGCATGGCTGAGCACGCTGTGTGACGGTCGGCGTTGCTGGGTATCATTGGAAACGTTATTGTTGGCGCTGTTTACTTAAGTGCTGGGCTTTGCAAATGCTTTGCGGAATCCTCGTCTGCCCCCACTCAGCCCCCTGCGAGCTTGCATGCATTGCCTGGCAGCTTCTCCCCCCCCGCGTGCTCTCTTCACGACTGCCTTCCTGGCCTGGCAAGACGTAAGTATTATAGAATACACGACCACAGCTCTCTTTTGCAGTGACAAACATGAAGAGGGGAGCCATCCAGCGCCGCGTGCATGCCAGTGCACGGTGCCACACCGGCAAGCTGCCAGATGGCGTCAACAGATCTCGCTCTTTCATCTCATTACATGTTCTCATTACGTGTTCTCATTGCGCAGGTGCTCTCAGCATCTGCGTGTCTCTTATGTTTCTTGTGTGCTAGTTACAAAAAGGACCCACAGCTCTTGATGTATTGATGGTGGCGGACAGACCCACTGGCTGTGTCTGTGTGTTTGTGTGTGTCGCTTTGTCCATCAGTAAGACTGAGATGGCATGGAAGTCCGCTACTCAGTTCGGTGGATCCGTGTAAACATTTAATTGGCAGGTCAACGTGAAGACGAAGAGTGTCAGCCACACACAGACAGACACCATGACCCATCAGCGGCCATGCAGCGATGCAGCCAGCCACAGAAAGGCAGCCGGCCTCCCTACTACCCCACCACCACACCACACCACACCACACCACACCGCACCACCACCACTTTCCGCCGCTGAATAAAAGCCACCACATATACACACACATCTTACACTGCTGGATGGATGGAACCCATCCATCCACCCACACACCCACCCACCCGTGGGAATGGATAGAATAAAAGTCACGTCACCTTCTCGATAAACGCCCACACCCACACCCACCCACCCACACGCACACGGAAACAAAAACACCTGCATGGCATGAATCGAATCAGTCATGCACACGGGAGGGAAGAGGTAACTCACGAGCGGAAAAAGGCACCGCGTGAATGAGTGATATACAAAAGCAATCAATGGCCATGGGGCATGGCAACCATGGGCCTGTCTGTGTCTGTGTCCGAGGCAGTGTACACAAAATGCGTGTACCTGTCTGTACCTGTGTGTGTGTGAGCACATCCACCCACTCCCCCACCCACTCCCCCACACCACCGACCCACATCTGTGTGACCTTCCCGTGACGCCCTTACACATGCACGGGAAGCAGCTTGTAGATAGACTTGTGTACAGGAGGACCTCCCCCCCCCCCCCCC